ATATAATAGACGGATATATAAATAGATAGATAATAGATAGACAGATAGACACCAAATATCACCTATGTGAATGATATGATTGCCATCTCTACTAGGTCTACGTTAATGTCCTCATGGTCTGCTGGCATCTAAACCCTGGGCACAGTTGGCTGCCAACACAGACCAGAAGCCCAGGTATGTGGCAATGCCCTCACCAAATAATACACAGCAGCCAGAGATCTATCTAAATGCTGATTCTTAGCTGGGTACAATGTAGCCTTACTGTTACAGTCTAGGCAATGGATCAGCAAATCCAATCATTGGATACCATACCACCCCATTCTAACCCTTAAAGGACAATCTGACCAAGAGCATCACTTACCCAGGATAGTATCCTAAGGATGGTCTGGGGCTGTTTGAGAAATTCTACAGGGTCAAAGCCCCCTCCTGCCCTTCCAGCTCCAAATGAGGCTCCTTCCATGTCTGCAGTGTCAGAGCTGAGCTGACCCCTCTGTGTCTCTCAGTCTGCCTTCTCCTTTCTGCTCTGCTGTCCTTCCACCTGCGCTGTCCCTCTGTCCGTCTGCACCTTCCCCACCTCCTCCTGCTGCTGTCAGTCTCTGTCTGTGGTGCTGAGTCTATTACAGCCTCTTCTCAGGCTGCTCCTCCCTCAGCTCCAGCCCTTCTCTCCCCTCCTCTGCTCCATCCTTATCATCCTTCACAGCTCTCCTCTCCTTATCTCCCCCTCTTCACACCCTCCCTGCTTTCCTTCTGATGCTTCATCTGCCCTTCCTTCTCTCCCCCTCTGGGAGTCAGGGTTAAGGTGGTTTTGAGGTAAGGCATTTCCTCCATGGATGGGGATTGCAGAATATAGAACACAAAGCACGGTTGGGGATGCCCCTTCATGGGAGAAGGTAATAAGGACCACAGCGGTCCCATCGAATGCTCGAATGATTATTAGAAAGGACGTCGCGGGGCGATATGGCTTTCCTTCTGTAGCGAATAATAATTGCCAATGCACGCATGATTTTTATATATAAATTATTATTTATTACAGGTATTTATATAGCACCGACAATTTACGCAGCGCTTTGCTTGCTGTTCACTCCCATCAGTCTCTGCCCTCAATGAGAGGACAATCTAAAGCTGGTCATATACTATTAGATTTTTTGTTTCATTCAGTCTGGGCGCTGAACGAAAAAAATCGATCCGATTCCTCCGTTTCCGCTGTATAGCGCCTGGATCTCGTGCCGCGGCTAATTTATTTTGACAGCCGGCCCCACCGCTGTCAGAATACACAAACAGGGATTGAAGCTGATTGGTTTGCAATCACCATTTGGCTGAAAATTTTCGGCGTGGCTCCTTTGACAAAAGTCGATGCAGTAATGGAAATCTGTTAAGCCAGCAGGGCCACACAGTGCGGAGCTCCATTCACATATAACGATTGCATTTCCAGCGCAGTTTTTCGCGTGGAAGACCGCACGGGATGCAAACACCATATGTGAAGCAACTGCACGGATTCCGCTTGATTTGCGGCTATTGTATAGCCGCGGACGTGTGGAATCCGACATTTTATTGCGCTTGCACTATTTTGCCCACAATATACACGCAATAGTCTGAGTAATGCACATTAGAGTGCATTGTTTTTTCTGTATAGAGCGGCGCCAGCACAGCGGCACTACGGACAGCCGCACCAGTGTGAATGGAGCCTAAGAATTCCATCTGAACCCTGTAAATGGGCTGAATGCTAACAGCGTATGGCAAGACCGAGGTCCCTATAAGACATGTAACCCCCAAAAAAAGTTTTGTTTCATTTCGGATCAATTCGGGTTTTAATTTCTTTAGTCTTTCGGATGTGAAATTTGATTCATTATTTGGATTTTGGATCCGTCCGAATTTTCGTTTCGGATGGACGCAGGGTTTGCATGTTCTCCCTGTGCTTGTGTGGGTTAGCTGATTGGTTGCCATGCACAGCTGCTCCGGATTTTGCTTGCTCCAGTTTTGACAAATTCCTCCCTGTGTATCATGTGAAAATTTCCAAATTTTTTTTAATAAAGTATCTGTCTTCACCTGCCTTCTATCTTTTTATACGTTTCTCCATGCTGATGATCTCCTGAGACCTATTTGCAGCCACTTCCTGTCTACATGCACTTCAGTGCTTGCATGCCATTTCTCAGAGCAGGTTTCCTGACAACAGACGACTTTGCGTTTTGAAACAGCCACTTGTATGCTCTATTGTAATCTCATGTGACAGGGTGACAACGCAGGAGCACAATTGGGAGACAGTGACAGAGCATTGACACCCTATAACAGGAACAAATACCTTGATGGCAGGACCACCCTGTATGATTTTAACAAAAGCTGCAGATTAAAAATACTGAAAGTGACTTTTTATATTGCATTGCTAAAGCTTGTATGAGGTTGGTTTGTAACTAAGAGTCAATTGAACAAAAACTTTAGCCGTGTCAGCAAAACATTCACAATTACCACTAGGCACAGTAGGCTTTGCTCATGCTTTTACGGGATGTGAAGCAGCTTTCAACTGTGCAATTGTTTTCGGAAACATTTTCCTCCTACAGCAATACATAATAAATGATAAAATGTATCCAGTGCCACTGATATACTTCCAACTTTCTGAAACAGGAAATGTGGGCTATTATGATGGCGGTCGATTTAGGCAGAAGACATGCCCTTGCCGCATCCCCTGTCATAGTTCTAGTAGTCGATGGACCTTTTATACCCCATCAGGCTGAGACCGCCAGAGACGCTGCACAACACACCTGAGTTCCTGCAAACCCCACCAGAGACCCCGCAGAGCTCACCATAGACCCTGCACAGAGACTCTCAGGTAGGCTGTGCCGCCAAGCACCCCTCCCAATCAATTGAGAATGGCAACCAGATGGCAGGGCGGGGGGGCGTATTGGGGAACCTGGCCTTGGGGCGGGGTTAGTTTCAAATATTTTTTTTACTGTTTCTTTATTTTTATCACTTTTTATTCAATTATTTCTTATTATTTTATTTTTTAATTTTTTTATCAATTTAATTCTTTTTACTTTTTTATAATGTACTTCCTCCGGCGTCCTGTTAATGTGGAT